AGGGCCTGAAGGTTACCTCTGTGTGTTTCTTGTCTGAAGCAAGTTATATATCACTGGTGATTTTCAAAAAGGGAGAGCATGAAACAGATGCATACATTTTATCCTGCTATACTCCACAATAGAAAGACTGGGACAGACAGCTAAGCACATGGCTCTTAATATCTTAGGCTAGCAACCAAAACTGCAGAAAGAGGCAGTAGCAGGCAACTAAGAGATGAAGCAGCTGGGTTTAAAGTGAAGATGTCACCAACCACAAGAATAAAGGGTTTATTTCAAGTTCAGGTTTTTTCACTGGTAGACATATGCAACCAGCTTTGGGCCCTCACCCATCCTGGTCCACAACAGAGCACTTGCTATTTGTCTTCATTATCTCCCCCCCACACACCTTTTTTTAAGAAAGGACATGTATTGATTTTCAAACAACTGAAACAGTTGTCTTTCAGTTCTGCAGTCTGGGGAAGATGCACATATCCGACCATAGGAAAGCTTCAGAGGTGTCTGTACACCTGAATCGCTTTAAACCGGCAACCACGGGAAACAGCTTATGCCAATTATGGAATTTTCCGGGCCATGGGTGTTTATGTTTTTCCAGTAAAAATAAAATAGTTTTGCAAAGCACTGAATTGCTATTTCACAGGTAACAGACAGCAATACATACTGTGAAGCAGGAGCGGGCTGGGGGTGAGAGAGTGCTGGGTCTGGGATCTGGGCATGGAGCACTTATCTGTTGCCCTGCTCCCAGGGCACACGTGGCTCTGCACTCCCGCCACTATGGGAGTGGCCAGAGAAAAGCCTCCAGAGAAGCACTGTGTAGCACTACCGTCCCCCCCAGCTCGGGGGGGGGAGGGAGCAGCAGCACACAGAGCCACTTCCTCCTCCCCTTGCCTGGGTCCGAACCACGGGTGTTCCTGAATTAGGGACTCTCAGATTACAGAGGTCCAAGTATATTAAATAATGCAGGCCTTTGCGATATGTATCCTTACTCTGAAAGTAGATTTCTTCTACTCAGTTTCCCTCACTATATTTACATATGGGATGATGTACTGAGGCTTGAATTCTGTATAATCACTTATGCAAACAAAACAAACACTTTAGCCTCTCAGTTTACTGAAAGATGAACAAATGCAGCGCTCTCCTTGACAGCCACAGTGGATAGTTAGACAGGTGCTTACTCCTGTCAGATGGAGGGGGGAAAACAGTCTAAAACCACAAAAGTGGGCATGGGGATAGAGAATTAAGCATGGAGAGCAGTACTTACTACATCACAATGTTTTGTGAATCCATGCACCTAAAGCGCAAACATCTCAGGGGATCAAGAAAGAGCCCCACCCCCGGGGGAAAAAAGTGTAACAAGACTAAGACAGGAAGAATTTTGTCCAAAACCTTGTGTTCACTTTGTATTATCCACTTTAAGAATGAAAAGTAACCCAGTTCTCTTGATACAGTCACAGGAAAGATATAGCAGATTGGACAGCAGGGATTCAACATCTGAAGACCTCTGCATTTGATAATGAACACATTTGGAACAAGTCTAGATGGGGAACCAGCTAGTTAAAGAGCACGGTCAACACAAGCAGCATGGTAAGACAGTGCTTCAAGAAAGTTCTAGTTGACATTGGCCAAGTAGTGGAAGGTGGAGAACAATCCTCCTAACAATACTTTAACAAAGCTGCCATGTTGATCCAGGACTTGGAGAAATCTAACTAAATGCATTCAACTGAACAAAGCATCGACACCGTGGCTCCAAATAGCTGTGCAATTCAACAAGCTACCGAGCTCTTCCCTCAGACATCTATTCTCAAATTGCACCCCTGATGTCATTGCTTTCCATGAAAGACATGGCAGAAGTATACTGGCTTGGAACCAAAAAAAATTCATCTTCTGGCACTTGTCCTAAGAACAAACTAGAGACATTTAATGCTTGTGAAATGGAAAGAGAAGCCAGGACAAGAGTCAGGCCAGAGGACAGTTCATTGACTGAAGTAGCAGACGCCAAAGCACATCTCTCAGGAGTGATTTACGTACAAGGGGCAACAGCACTGAGTTGACCTATGAGGAAGACAGTTATCCAGGAGAAGTTAATACCACAAAAGTTAACGTGACGATCACAGTAAGAATCCCAGTCCCCCGGAAGGGACTGCTCTGTCAGTTTGACTTTTGAATCAGGATACTCAGTTTGCTAGAGCTGTCCCAACACAGAAGAAAACCAATCTCCACTCTAAAGCGTTGACAATACAACATTTAAAAGAGTTTGAACTTAAAATTGCTTTGGAAAAATAAATGGAGATTCAGCATGTACCGTACAGGCTATCTGCTGTTATCTGGTGATCACAGAGAAATGATTTTAGTGTCATTCAGTAGTGTCATAACAGATCTTGCTTACAATACGCTCTTTGTTACCTCATGCATGCAATTAACTTTTACGAGTGCATATCTAAAGCACTTTGATACCATGATAACAAGTATTGATTGTCTTTTTGGAGTGGCTTATCTTGCAAAATTTCTCCTTGTTACACTCTAATTGGGATGGGTTTCCGTACCAACAAAAAACTGTCCCTCTCACAAGGAATCATTCTGGGCCCTGGGTTAAAAAGAACCAATAATTTGGATGTTTTCCTTTTGCCACAGTCATCTCCTAGCAAGAAGAACAAGAAACAGCTTGTCACCTTCATGATAGGAGGCGCTAGGTTTTCACCTCTCAAGAGCAGAATTCACAACTAAACAACCTGCCACTCAAACAATGTACAAAATGTTGGATAATTAAGAATAAGACCATTTCAGCACATCAAACATTCCCCATTCCTATCACTTCTTTCAAAATTATGTGCTCAAATTCAGATTAACAGATCAGAAAACCAGACAGGACCACTCTCATCATCCAGTCTCACATAGGCCATGGGGAAGAATTCATGAAAATCCTACTTGAACTAGAGCAAATATTTCAGAAAGACACCTGGTCTTGATTTAAAAATTCCTAACCCTTGGAACCTGAGACTCCCTCGCAACCCTTGAGAAATTGTTCCAATGGTTAATTATCCTTACTGGCAAAAATACACATTTTATATCCGATGTGAATTAGTCTAGCTTCACCTTCCCACTATTGGATCTTGTTATAGTTAACTTGCTAGAATGAACAGCCCTTTACCTACACAATGACCGGAAGTTTGATGCTAACAGACTAAGTTCACTCTTAACCTTCTCTTTGTTAAAATAAACCCGCTTGACTTAAGGAGCCCATTGCTGCACAGTATGTTTTCCAAGTCTGTTAATTACAGGCAGTCCCCGGGTTATGTACAAGATAGGGACTGTAGGTTTGTTCTTAAGTTGAATTTGTATGTAAGTTGGAACTGGTGTCCAGATTCAGCCGCTGTTGAAAATGACCAGCGGCTGACTACAGGAAGCCCGAGGCAGAGCTGCTCTGCCCTGGGCTTCCTGCAATCAGCCGCTGATCAGTTTCAACAGCAGCTGAATCTGGACACCTGGGGCAGAGCAGCTGGGGTGCTGCCGGGTTGGTCCAGTAGCACCGAGGAGCGGCGCTGCGGGACCAACCCGGCAGCGCTCCAGCTGCTCTACCCCAGGCGTCGGCGAGAAAAGCCTGGTCTCTTGGAGGGGGGGGGTGCGCACTAGCTGCGCCGCCCCCTCTCCCCCCACCCAGCAGACCAGAGAGACACGGAGCGGCTTTTCTCGCCGTGTAGGACGTGGGCGGCAGGACCGCGGCGCATCTGGGCAGTCCCGCCGCCCGCGTCCTCCGGGGCGAGAAAAGCCCCGCTCGTACGTAGGGATCCGACGTAAGTCGGATCCACGTAACTCGGGGACTGCCTGTATTCTCCTGGTTCCTCTCTGAACCCTCTTTATCAACATCCTCTTGAATTCAAGTTAAAGGGATCTCTGGGAGGCCGCTCACCTACTTTTGGAGCTGGCAGCAGACATTGCTAACCATAGTATATTTTCCAGGATACAGGCCCACAAACACTTAATGAACATGGTTGTTACTAACAAAGTCAATAGGATTATTTTCATCATCTGATGGTGCTATATGCAGGAGAGCCCCCTGCAGGGAGACTTCCATGGACCTATTTTGACCTAGTTAGCTTTGGGCCAAGTCCCCAGCTGTCACTGTCATGAGTAGTGCTCATTCAGAGCCCTGACGACTCAAAAGCAAAGTAGAGTTTTGAACTGTGCAATCTACTACGATGCAAGAACCACTAGAGACACAGCCAAGCCAGAGTATGCTTTCTGACAGACAGGTAATACAGTCCACCACTTCAAAGTTACCTAAACCACTGTACAACCAATTTTGGCACATGGACTTACTAGCTACAGTCTTTTGATGAAGGTGGGAAGTAGTCTCTTGGGAATGGGACATCAGAAGTCAGGCTTTACCCATAAGCTGCAGAAAGTACTGATGGGCTCTATCATCTGAAAACGCACTACGCAAACAGTTTGCAGTTCAGATGGTAGATACAGATAAAAGACTTGTGGAATTAACAAGAGAGATAGGAATAACACCACTGCTTCCTTTACGCTGTGCGGCTGCTCAGGACAAATCCAAATGCTGCTCAGTCAATCAGCAGAACTCCCACAGCTATGTTTTTAGTTTCTACTGGTGGTGCACATTCGCCTATGCCATGATGTGCATAATATTTATTCTGCACATAGATGAGAACAATCCGCACATGAACGGAAAAGATCAAAGGAAACACTAGAGAACACCCAGTAGATTTCTGATACTCGCTACTTTGTGTGTGATCCCCTATATTCTTCCCTTTTCAAGAATCAGAAGAAAGCATAATCAATAATTACAATGTAAAGAAAAAATACTGAGAATGCCAAGACCTCTCGTAAAGACGACATTTTTAAACACAACTAGCCTTCCTTCTCTCCTCCCTCCCTTCACACAATGTTTAAAACATTAAAACCCTGCCCACATGCTGAAGTGAAGAGATTAGAGATTAAAAAAAAGACAGTGCATTACTGATTTACTTTTTAAGATGACTCACCTATTAGAAAAGACTCCCCAGAATGGGACTCCATAATTGGTTTTGACAAGGGAGGTTTTGATCTATGGGAGAGGGGAAAAAAAGTGTCAGCAAGCAGTTAACTGGTTTACATGCTGTCAAAAAGCATCTCTGCCCTCTTCTGGAAACACACGCATGCAGTTCGACTTACTGCTCAATGTATTTACTAAAGATTAGTTCTATAATTAATGGGTATACAAGAAACTGCAAGCTTCATGAAGAAAAAGAACATACTGAGCTCTAGGCACTCTTGAGCTTTGGAACAAGTCTTGTCATTTCTTGACAAATCCATGTACCCTCTCTAAATTCCCAACGAGCTTCAATTTACTAATCATAGTTGCTCTTTCTACATCAAAATCATTCTCCCATGGTAGCCAGCCTCAGCATGGAAGTCTGAGGATTTTCTATCTCCTTCTAAGGCCAGGTCTACACTCAACCCAGAAGGTCAGTTTAAGGTATGCAACTCCAGCTACGTAAATAACGTAGCTGAAGTCGATGTACCTTAAGCCAAGCTTGGTGTCATTTCACAGTGGGAGGTAGATTCACCCATCAGCTTCCCTTACTCCTCACAACTGCAAGGAGTACTGGCACTGACCAAAGGTGCCCTCTGTATTTAATTTGGTGGGTCTTAACTACATCTGCTAAATCAAACGCCAGAAGATTGATCTCCAGGTCATAAGTATAGATATGGCCTACGAGTTTTTGGGGAAAGAACACAGAGCTTAGCATCATTAGAGATAACTTTCTTCAGTCGGATGTAAGGCCTGATTTGCTCTGGGAGTTTCTGTATACTGTAGAACCCTCACTAGTTTGTAATAGTCACTAGGTAACCTAAAGTATACTTTGCATATATAACTAAGTTTTGGTAGTAACAGATCACACAACAGTAGCTCTTATTTTTATGGCACCAAAACTGTTATCCTTTATACGTTTTCAAGGTTTTTTTAGGCTGCATACCACATAACCCCATCCAAAATAGGTATGTTTTGACTAGGATTAGATATCCAAGTCTTACTAAAGAAAACACATTATTCACCATCACAGGATTTTCTTTGCATAACCTCAGGTGTATGTATACCCCATTTTGAAAACCACTCTTTATAATAAAAGAGAACCTTATCTTCGAGCACTTAGTTTAAATAGATTATGTGAAGACAAAGAAAGTGGAGGGAGTAGATTTTCTTTTTTCAGTTCTATTTTAGGCCCCTCCTTTTCCCCCCAAAAGAACACAACTGTAAATTTAATCAGTTTAACAAAGAATTTCAACGTGTTTCAGACACCACATGGGCCATGAATTTTCCTATTCATTTCTATAGGTTTTAAAAGCAGAAAAGCGCCTTGTAATCACATTTTCCTGTCCCTTCTGTTGTTCACGGGAATCTTCAACAAGGAAGCAAAGAAACTATATGCTACATGTGAAACACTGACTAAATACAAAAAATGAACTGAAAAAACCCTCTCTAAACTCTTCCAGGTGTTAGTCGTAAGGAGCCTGGAGCCACCTCCTGCACCCCAAACCTCACATTCCTGGCCTGATCCTGGAGCCCACACGCTAATCAAAAGATATAATTATGTTGGGTCACCAGGCAAACCATTTTTTTCAACTAGGTCGCAAGAAAAAAATAAAACTTTTGCTGTTCTGAACTATACAGCTTTGCTGGAGAGCCAAGAGATATGGGTGTGATGTAGTATTGGTACCTTGTTGGTGGCTATGCTGGGCGGTGGGCTGTGGGTGACACCTACTGGTGGCTATTTGTAACACGGCCCAGCAGGGCAGGGGATGAGTCATTATGCAAGGGGCTCCCAACCTGTCCGACCAGTTGGCTCCCAGGGAGGGAGACAAAGGAAGGAGGGCGAGGTCCAGCCCCTGGCTGGGGGGCAGGGCTGGAAGAGGGTTGTAATTTCTGTCTGGAATCATGGAGGAGACAGCCTAGGGAAGGGACTGGGATTTAAGGGCCCAGTCTCCTGCATCTCAAGGGGGGAGCTGAGGCATTTTAGGCTTGCCCTGTAACCAGATTACATCTATGCTGTGCTATATTCTGGAGAAGCAATGAACTCCCTCTATTCTACTGGCTGGTGGGATCTGCTCATGCCACTATGGGGGTGCAGGAGGCGGGGGAACCCCGACACGCCAGCACAATGGGATTTAGTACATGCTGTTTGTGATCAGCTCGGTACAGCTAAACATGAAGCAACGCGCACACACTTACTTGATGGTATATATTTTTCTTGCAACTATCATCGGAAAATCCACTTCAAAATATTTTTTAGGGAGAAGATTTTCATCCTGAAAAAAATCAGAATGAGATCCCAACCTTAGGGGATGGTCACGCTTCCCGCAGAGAGAGTGGGGGACTCAATCTAGTTTTCCCCTGAAAAGTTGTGTTTCACATTTTCAGTTCTTCATCCCTTAATGCTCTGGGTTTGTGTGTTATTGTTTTTAATTAAATGAACTACAAATTAACAAACAATACACATGCTCAATAGCAAAGAAACAAACTCGTAGGATATTCAAGTCATCTGAACGAACAGTAAGGTCTGGCAACCAACATCTTGGAAATTGAATTGCCACGCACAGTACACAACAGAAAACGTCACCCATGGCTTTCACGCATCGCTCAGTTTATACCCCAAAAGGAAGCAAACAGGAACACTGAAGAGAGATGCCACAAAGTGCTTGTATTAGTCAACTGCTCACAAATATGTGCCTACCACGTAGCCAACCTGCTGCAGCTGTTAAAAATCCACTCAAAGGGTTAGTTTTAGTCACGTGTTAGTGGACTTTTGCGTGTGCAACCCACAACTTGCACTCACAATGGCAATCTCAGAGAGGGTTAGGGCTCCATAGTCCCCTATCTGCATGAAGTGGAGAGTCCCCCCAGACCCAAGTTTAGGCACAAAACAAGAATATGGGAAAACGTGCACTGTCCCTCCGTCAATGCGGCTGTTCTTCTGGGGATAGACATGTCCTGCTAGCTCTAGGGATGTTAAATATCGGTTAGCTGAATAGTCGATTAACCTCATGAATTCTTATCAGTTACGTGACTATTCTATAGTCCCTGGGGGAGGGGCTGGCAGCCAGAGAGCTCCAGCCCCACTTCCAAGGAGCCCCCTGCCCCTCCACGCTGCTGTCTCCGTATTAGAGGCAGCAGCACGGGATGCCAGGCAGGAGCTGGTCCATGAGGGGAACCATTTTAAAAATGACCTCCCCACGCAGACTGGCTGCCTGTCACCCCACGCTGCTGATACAGAGGCAGCCCCTGTCCATGGTGAGGGGGCGAGTTTCTAGACCCAGCATAAGCTGGAACTGAGCTGGGCTGCCTGCCCGCCTAGTTCCTAATATATTTTAAATGCAGAACCACAGCAGGAGTAGGTCCCAAACCCAGCGTGAGCTAGGACTGAGCTGGGCTGCCTGCCAGTCTGCTGAAAAAATTCACTGGCCAGAGGTAGGAGGGGGTTCTGTGTGTAGTCCATAGCAACGTGTGTAGTCTATAGCATTAATCTATAAGCATCTGCTTATCGGTTAATCGACTCCACTATTCTATCCCTAGCTAGCTCCAGGGCAGTCAATCTCGCACCTTCCTGAATGTCACATTAATTAGCAAGGATGATTATTCTTAATGGGACCTCTTTTTCTATACAGGCAGTCCCCGGGTTACGTACAAGATAGGGACTGTAGGTTTGTTCTTAAGTTGAATCGGTATGTAAGTCAGAACTGGCGTCCAGATTCAGCCACTGTTGAAACTGATCAGTTTCAGCAGCAGCTGACTTGGGGATGCCTGGGGTTCTTAAGTTGAATCGGTATGTAAGTCAGAACTGGCGTCCAGATTCAGCCACTGTTGAAACTGATCAGTTTCAGCAGCAGCTGACTTGGGGATGCCTGGGGTTCTTAAGTTGAATCGGTATGTAAGTCAGAACTGGCGTCCAGATTCAGCCACTGTTGAAACTGATCAGTTTCAGCAGCAGCTGACTTGGGGATGCCTGGGGTTCTTAAGTTGAATCGGTATGTAAGTCAGAACTGGCGTCCAGATTCAGCCACTGTTGAAACTGATCAGTTTCAGCAGCAGCTGACTTGGGGATGCCTGGGGTTCTTAAGTTGAATCGGTATGTAAGTCAGAACTGGCGTCCAGATTCAGCCACTGTTGAAACTGATCAGTTTCAGCAGCAGCTGACTTGGGGATGCCTGGGGTTCTTAAGTTGAATCGGTATGTAAGTCAGAACTGGCGTCCAGATTCAGCCACTGTTGAAACTGATCAGTTTCAGCAGCAGCTGACTTGGGGATGCCTGGGGTTCTTAAGTTGAATCGGTATGTAAGTCAGAACTGGCGTCCAGATTCAGCCACTGCTGAAACTGATCAGCGGCTGATTCCAGGAAGCCCGGGGCAGGGGCTTCCTGTAGTCAGCCACTGGTCATTTTCAGGTAAGTCGGATCCACGTAACTCGGGGACTGCCTGTACCAGGGTTAGCAACCTCTGGCTCTCAACGCATCAGTGAAATCTGCTGGCAGGCCGCGAGATGGTTTGCTGACCTTGACCGTCCACAGCTCCCAGGCGCTGTGGTTTGCTGTTCCCAGCCAACGGGAGCAGTGGGAAGCAGCTTGTGCTGCAGGGAGGCGCTGAACATCGCTTCCTGCTGCTCTCAGGGGCCAGGAACAGCAAACTGTGGTCACTGAGAGCTGTGGGGGTCCGTACCTAAGGGCGGTCTATGTCAGCAAACATCTTGCAGCCTGCCAGCGGATTACCTGATGGACCGAGAGCCAGAGTTTGCTGACCCCTGTTCTATGCTATTCTTGCTGGTCATGAGGAAGGGACGGGGTGATAGCACAAGGATATAATTAAAAGGCACCACTCTTAATTCTCAAGGTTGAACAAAACTGGGTTTCAATATAGCTTTAGCATGAGTGCTGGCAGAGCAAAAGCCTCCTCATTTGATTTTTTTTTTAAATCCCACTTTATTTGCATGACTATAACACAATGGGTGACTAAACCTAGCCTATCCAGGTTGTCTTCCTGAATCCATGTACATTGATAGAACCTGATCCTGCAAATTACTATACACAGTTAACTCTCAGAAAAATGAGGAAGGTCTAGAAAATGCTTTTATACAGAGAGTCACACCATAACAGTTGGCATTTAGAAGCTTTTAAAAAATAATTCAAAGTAGTATTTAGGACACAGAGAGGGTGTCAGCCAAGTACAAAGGTTGCACTTGATTCTGGATTTATATCCTTATATATAGGCAAGGAAATTGTTCCTTATAGTTTAAATATGAGCTAAGAACTAAAGACATTTCCAAATGGCCACTAGAGGTCACCTTTGTGCCATGCATTCCTACAACACAGACTGATGGTCAATAATTTCCTTTTTTTTAAAAAACAAGAAAACAGGAGAGTTTCAGACATGTGTAAACCCTTCTTTTTGCTAGTATCATTATTCTGAGATATCACCTTTAATCTCCAGAACATGGTATCCATACCGGCACCAAGATTTATGATTTGACAGTTGCATTCTGTCTCCTTTAAAAAAGTTTTAAGTAGCTGACCCACTCCGTGCACACGAGCGTAGTATCCTGCAGGAAAAAAAAGTGCTTAAAAACCCCAGACAACTAATATTCTTTAGCTGCTCCTATATGGGATATGTATATTTTATGGTGTTTTAGAGCTCGTCACCTGAGGAACTGGAAATTTCAGTTCAAAAAGTTCAAACGGAGTCATCTTGGCAGATTAATTCTATACAAACTATACATCTGCTTTTATTAGTCTCACCTGGCGAGTAGTACTTCCCTGTGCTTTAAGGTCATGCATCACAGCCCTGCTCTTTGGTTGCTTTGTGCAGTACATTACAAGGTAAGCAGAACACATAGGAAATCAGTTTACAATACTAAGGGAAGAACGACATTCCAAGGGCGAGGGTCCAGTGTGCAATCCAACCACTACGCTGGGGAGAGCTCATATCAACCTACTACATGCTTCCCACGTACATTCGATAATATCCATGATATGGAAGCTTTAGCCACTATTCTTCAAGAACATCACATGTTCCGAGTGCGTTTGTATTGTCTTTGTTTAAATTCACATGTTAACTTGCCTCTGTTAATTTCAGGTGCTTTCCTCTCTTTTGCCTGTCTCACAAAATATTGGATGTAAGGGTCCTTCCAGTAGCCAATAGTTACAGCAAATCTGACAAAGGCATTGGGGTGGGGGAGGAGGAGAAAAAGAGAATTAGCAAATAGAGCCATCAGGATTTACTGCTGAAGACTACCTAGACAAACAAGCTAAAAAGCTGTCTTAGGATGGTCTTCCAAAGAGGTATGCTGGGAGGAAGGAGTCTTAAAATGCCACTGACCACCTGAGACTGTTCAAATTAACACCGATTACATAAAGTAATTCTAACTAGAAAGAAATAGCTTTTACTTTTGTAATATTTTAAATGTATTTCTCCCCATGCGTTTGAAGAATTTCACAGAGAAATTTAGCAAAGTTCAGGTACCACCTGCAAAATAATCTGAAGAATTTCAGTGCAAAGTTTTCTTACTTGAAGCCTCACAGAGCAGCTACATTGTCTGTGTTCGATTCCAAGGACTGAACATCACATGGCTTTTAATGCCACACATCAACCGAAGCTCTAATAGGTATGTGGCTTATATGCACTTACACCAAACTGGAGCCTCGAAGAGCTACCTGAGCCCTAGTAAAAGTAATACCCTCGTTCCCACCTCTTCACAATTATCTATAATCTCTACAGAATCAGAATGTTGCTTAAGAGCAGATCTTTAAAAGTCTGTCCAAAACCTAACAAAGAAATAAGTGTACTAAGTAAAATGAAAAATGTGCAACTCTGCCTGGCACTTCCATGCAGGGCACTACATAAATCCTATCAACGAACTTTCTACTTAATTGTTTAGAATAGTGGTTTTCAATTTGTGAGGTATCTGTAGTAGGGATACCAGAGTGTAATCAGTTAACTGATGATGCTTATCCATTTCTGTTACCAGCTGCACTCTACCCCTCCTGTGGCACCAGCTGCTCTGCGCTGTATGCTTCACAGCCAGCAGGCTCCCGGCGCGCCCCAGCTCCTGGCAAGCTAGCTGCTGTCCCATGCTGCGGGCTCTGCTAGCCCCACTTCTGGGGTGCTCGCCCCGCCCCCAGGATGTCAGATGCCCTGTGCTACAGGCTCTGTAGCTGGCAAGATCCTGGCGTGTGGGGCTGGCAACTGGCACGCTTCAGGAGTCTGCCAGCTGCAGAGAGCCCACAGGGCAGCTGGCACCTTGGGAGTTGGGCCAACAAGGGACATCCCAGGAGTGGCTGCGGGGGCACCCCTCCACCATCCTTCCCTCCCTAGCGCCTACCCGTACATCCCCAGGTAAAACGGTAACCATGTGACCGACTGGATTTTTAATGGTTACACGGTTACTGGTTTACATCTCTAGTCTGCAGAGTGTGTCAAGGACAGCGGTGTCCAACACACTAGCAACATGTGGCTATTTGGCCTGTTGTTGGCTTGAACAATGTGGCTATTTGGCTGTTAAGTGTGGCTAGTTCACTATACTGGCTACTGCTTCAGAACGGATTGGACACCATGGGTCTAAAATTTCCAAAGGGGTCTGCATCTTAATTGGAATAAGTTTTTTAGGGGTCCACAACAGGGATGTTAACTATTAGGTATTTGGGTGTATGTGTAAATACTGGAAATTTTTGCGGTTACACATTTACGGGGTGGGGGGCAGGTGAGAGCCAGGGCTTATGGGGAACTGGCTTAAATGCCAGCTCTCCAACAGCACTGGCTCCCGCCTGCCCCTCCTCCCCCAACAGAGGCGCAGCCCTACAGGGGGCAGGCAGCTCCACAGGAGTCTATATGCGCAGGAAGCAGGCTTAAAAGCCTCTTTCCACATGTATCAGCTCCCACCTGCCTCCCCTGCACGGCTGCCTCTCAATCAGAGGCAGCAGCAGAGGGAAGGGGAGCAGGCAGCTCCAGAGCTGGTACCCCAAACATAGGCTCCCTCCTGCCCTTCCCCACTACTAACTTTGAGTGAAACAAAGGGGGAGGGGAAGAGTAGGCAGCTAAGCAGAGCTGGCAACTTAACCTGGCTCCCACCAGTCCCCCACCCCACACTGCTGCCTCTGTGGGAGGCACCGGAGGGGGCCTCTGTGGAAGCCAGCTCCCCACACATTTCAGCTCCCTCCTCCCCGCTTGCTGCCTCTGTAACAGAGGGCAGCGCTTTTAGTCAATAACATTAACAGATAAGCCCAGGGTTATTGGTTAATTGTGTGGTTGACTACAGGTTGACATCCCTAATCCACAAATGAAGGGGTGTTTAACCCCGTTCATAATAATAGAATACTAGAACCAGAAGGAACCTCAAGAGGTATTCAAGTTCAGTTCCCTGTAACACCCATTTTACTTTAAAAAACAACATTTCTGGACTCACTCCTTCTATTCCTCTTCTTTCCTAAATAGATCTTGGTTAATTTCTTTTCCTTCTCTTGTTTCACCACCTACCCTCTCTTTCCTCACCTTACATTCTCTACACTCAGTTACCTCTCTAGGAATGTAAAATCCCAGTTAATCAATTGACCGGTTAAACCTTAGGTTCAACTAGTTAATGGATTAAATGGGATCCCATGTAGGGAGGCCGGCAGCCCCAAATGCAGGAGGGGCCAGCTTCTGCTCCCAGTCATTCTGGGGCTGGAGCAGCTCTCTGCCCACGGGTAAGCATCACCCGTTATCCATTCACATCCCTCATCCTCACTCACTATTCTACTCTTCCCCATTTTTTAAATCTTCCTCCCAGTTAATAGTTACAGTTGCTGCTATTTCTATTGTTTATATTTTCCTTAAATGAAGTGAAACTAAGCCAGTACAAATCACTTTCATTGCTGACAACTAGGCTCCCAACAGCAACAATGAAAAGCATTCAGACTTTAGGCACAGCATGAGTAGCAGCAGCAGAAGTGTGCAGTCTGCAGAATCAGGAAAACAATTCTGCATGTGTTTATGTTCAGTTCACATTTAAAAAGACAGAATGAGGGGGGAGAAGGCTGCTGTCAACATTGATGGCATTTACCTGGGAAGAAAAGTTGCCTCCTTATGTATGTGAGCTACATTTTTTCAAGTACTGCTACAAGGACTCATGGTTTTACATTACCTGATGATTGTACAGGGTTATATTTTTTAACTGTGGGACAAGTGCTAAAAAATCTAGTTCACTATTTAACAACACTCTCTATATATGAAACACTGAACCTTTAAACCACATAATTAAGAGTGGAAAAGTTTAGTGATAAAAATACTCCTTAAAGCAATATTCAACAACTTTTTTTAAGCACTTTCCTGATATTAAAAAACCCAGAACTGTCTACACCTCTATACAACCAGCAGTTAGCGACCTTGACAACCAGCAGATGTGTTGTGGCAGCACTATACACCCCAATACACTTTTATACGTTATACCTATACATAAATAAACATATACACAGCCTGAACCCACCCCTCCAACCCTCAATCACCCACAGCCCTACTTTCGCACAATACTAGATCTGCTCGCTCCTCACATGTAGATTGCAGATGCGCCTCTCCCATCTTCCAAGGGCCCTCCTCTGCCCTGCCTTCCCCGCCTAGCTACCTACCCCCACGCCTCGCCCCACCCCTCCC